ACATATAAAATATAGGTATAAGTTTTAATGACCTTCTATCATCTATATCATTTCTAGGTCTCTATTGATTTTTCTCATGATTATGGGTCATATCTTCCAGCTTCTTACATGCTTGATAATTTTTTAATGGGTTTAAATACTGTGACTTTTATACTTGTTATATGTTAGGTATTTATGTATTCCTTTAAATACTGTTTTTTGGGTTTTTTTTTTGACAGAGTCTTGCTTTGTTGCCCAGGCTAGAGTGCAGTGGCACAATCTCTGCTCACTGCAGCCTCTGCCTGCCAGGTTCAAGCAATTCTCCTGCCTCAGACTCCCAAGCAGCTGGAACTATGAGTGCACGCCACCAGGCCCGGCTAATTTATTTATTTTTTTAAGTACAGACAGGGTTTCACCATATTGGCCAGTTTGGTCTTGAACTCCTGACCTCATGATCCACTGAGACCAGCCTCCTTTAAATATTCTTGAGCTTTGCTCTGAGATGCTTGAAAATAATTGATCATTTTCAGGCTTCTAAGTTTTGTTAGGCATTAACAGAGAAGCCTTTAGTATTAGAGCTACTTCCTGCCTACTACTAAGGCAATATCCTTCTGAGTATACTAAGGCACCCATTTATTTACTTAGGATGTTCTATTTATTATAAAGGATTTTCCTTCAGTTGATAGGAACAAGAAACAGTCTACGCTTTGTGTGAGAGTTCTGAAGATATTTTACTTCATACTTGCCATTTACTTTACTTTTTCTTCATTTTTTGTGAATAGCTCCAGCGTTCCTCAAAAAATTTTAATCATCTGAGAAATGCCTGGAAAGATAGGTTTCATGGCAAATAAGCTAGGAAACTGTATATATTATCTCTCAAAAACTTACAAGAAATTTTAGCATATTAAAGCCTACATAAACACTTCAGAAAAGAAATTCTTCCAACTTTTTCTAAACTAACTAAATGAAGACTAAAAGCTTCATTTCACATAAAACATATTACATCCCACAATCTTAGAAAATGATAATTTGTTTTACATTTTTACTACTTTCAATTTTGTTTCTCTTAGTCTAATATTTGGCAAAATTAAGGTGTTTTTTGTTGCAGTGGTAGTTATTGTTTTCTTCCTAATTCCCTGCATTAAACAGAGTTATGATGGACTGATGAATGGATGGAAGCAATTTTGAGTGTGACAGAGCAAAGAGTATAGGCTTTGGAGTCGGACCAGAGTCTGAATTCACAAACTTTACAACCCAGAGCAAGTTACTTCATCTCTCTACCTATTATCTACAGAGAAAAATAATACCTTCCTTATGAAGTTATGAAAAGTAAATGAGTAAGTTAAGCAACAAGCTCACAACACATGCTCAATAAGTACCTTTCTCATATTTCCCTTTCAGTTAAAGGATTCCAATATAAATTGTCAGTTTTTATAAATATCATCATGTACTAATATATAATATAGCCTCAAATGAGTAATTTATTCATTCACATTTATCTTTCACTTAGTAAATTCTATTTATGTGGGGGGGTATACATATTCATACACTATGTATAACTATATATAGTTCTAATAGAGGTAAAATCACTTCCCCTATGTACAGTTACAATTTAAACATTTGATTTTGCTGTGACAGAGTGAATTGTTTAAAACATTAAAAAACCAGTAGATACAAAAATATGGAAGTATTCAGAATGCATTATATATTTCTCTACTTGTTTTTCATTAACAACATCTGTATGAAAATAATATGAATCTGTGTTAGTAATTCAGCTACTTATTTCTTCCTAAAAAATACAATCCTACTTGAAATGGTTAGGAATCCACCTGCGGGGCTAAGATTTATTGTTCTCATAAAATGCAACAAAAACCATCAAAAGAAAAAAAGACCCTAGGGCACCCAAAGGGGATGGGGAAGAAGGGAATAAACAATGATCAATTATTTTAAGTCTAAGCCATTTATTATAAATAATACTTCAGCTTCCCCAAAACACATTTGTGCCTTATTAAAGCCAACTGTTACAGGGCTGAACACAGTGGCTCATTTCTGTAAGTCCAGCACTCTGGGAGGCCGAGGTGGGAAGACAGCTTAAGCCCAGCAGTTTGAGACCAGCCTGCGCTACATACTAAGACATAGTTTCTGTAAAATAAAATTTAAAAATTAAAAAGAAAAAACAACTGTTGGCTGGGCACAGTGGCTCATACCTGTAATCTCAGCACTTTGAGAGGCTGAGGCAGGCAGATCACTTTGAGCTCAGGAGTTCAAGACCAGCCTAGGCAACATTTTCTACAAAAAATGCAAAAATTAGCCAGGCATGGTGGCATATACCGGAGGTCTCAGCTACTTGGAAGGCTGAGGCTGGAGAATCCCTTGAACCCAGAAGGCAGAGGTTGTAGTGGGCCAAGATCACACCACTGCACTCCAGCCTGAGCAACAGAGTGAGATTCTGTCTCAAAAACAACAATTCCTGTTACAGCTAGTTAACAATCACATGGTTCAGTAGTACTATAAGCAGCTCTTTTAGAACAGCTCTTCAAGCTTCCTTCCACACTGTAAACCATGACATTTCTAGATAGCTTTGATTAATGAAATTACAAGGCACCTAATTTTCATTAGGAAATAATGAACTTCCAAAGAGTATAAATTTTGTTATTGCATCACTCTCAAAGTTCCTCATAAACCCTACTAATATAAGGATTTCAGTCCATGTCACTGATAGAAGTGATTAGTTGATTACTGTAAATAAGATCCTTCCATAATTATAAAAGAAAAAGTACTTAGGGATTTTTTGAAACTATTCCAGAAATTCTAATAGCTTTAATAGAATTTTAAAACCTGTGCTATCTAATATGGTAGCCACTAACCTTATGTGACTACTGAGCATCTGAAGTATGTGTAATAAGAACTGAGCTGTGCAGTAAGTACAAAATACACACTACATTTCTTAGAAATTAAAGAAAACATTTCATTAATAATTTTCATGTTGATTACATATTAAAATAATACTTTGGTTATACTGGGTAAAATGAATTATTAAATTTAATTCATCTATTTTTACTAAAAATAAGTCTACTTAAAATTTTGAAATTATATATGTGGCTCACATTCTTTTTCTATTGGATGTGTACTACCCTAAACTCACCTCCCTTTATTCAAAGTCACACAAACTATATGCAGTTCTCTCTTAGTATGCATGGGGATTGGTTTCAGTGCCCCTCCCCTGGATACCAAAATCTGAGAATACAAGTCCCTTTATAAAATGGCATAGTATTTGCATATACCCTATGCACAGTCCGCCACTGTACTTTAAATCACCTCGAGATTACTGATAATACCCAATACAATGTAAATGTATGTAAATAGCTGTTATACTATATCCGCTTTTTATATATATTATTTTTATTGTGTTTGGTTTTTTTCCCCAATTATTTTCAACTTGTGGTTGGTTGAATCTGGAAATGCTGAACCCAAGGATATTAATATAAATCCTACATTAAATCATTTGGGATGGGAGTTTCAATCAAATCACAGTTATCCAACTATACACTTCAGGTGTTATTTCTGGTAATCTTGGTTCTTCTCCCTATTACTCTCCAAATAAATCTGGGCACTTAACAGACTATAATTTTGTTTACAAACCTATCTTCTCTCTCTTCTACTACATTCTTATCTCTTGAAATTTAGGACCTGTGCCTTAAGTCATTTTTTTTTTATCCCCAGTGCACAACACAGATATCTGTTCATATCTAATGTATATTCGAACTACTATCACCTTTTGCTCAAGTTATTTCCTATGCTATTTCCTTGGTTTATCATCTTCTCTGCCATCTAAGATATCTCATTAAGTAAAGCTTTCCTTAACTATCCCTAACTTCTAACCCTTAAAAGAATTATTTGAGGGGGACTTAGGAAGATGGCTCTGTAGGACCAACTCAGGATTACAGCTCCCAGTCAATCCGCAGAGGGTGAGCGGATGCCACATTTCCATACAGATCTTTATTGTCCACAGACTAGGAGATTCCCAGGTGTAAGAGCCCCATGGGCCGTGCGGCAGTTTGGGCCAGCGCCCACTGTTTGGGCCGGCACGACTGTTTGGGCCGAAGCCACAGCGTAGCGACACTCCGTACAAAATATGCTGGTTTGGTTGCCCTGTTAAACAGGCAATTGGAGATTTCGGAAAGCAGATTAGCACATTCATCTGATTAAACGAGAGTTAAACAGAAAGCCAGCCCAGGAGATTCCTGGGCAGCAACGTGGTTTGAGCCGGAGCAGTGGGTCACTGCACTGGAAATCACACAGATCCCGGCGCCCTTGCAGCAGGCGACTGGAACACCTAGGAGAGCGTCAACCGTTCAACTTAACAAATAAAAAAAAGTGGGGGGCTCTGAGGCAGGGAGCCAGGTGATCAGGTTCGGCAGGTCCCACCCCCACAAAAACAAACAAAACAGCACTTGGAAACGCTCGGGGTTGAGAGTTTTATGGCAAGCACAGCTGAACCCAGGACGGTGCAGCTCGGAGGGGCAGAGGCCTCAGCCATTACCAAGGCACTCGACCCCTATGGAGCTACACTGCCATTGCTGACGCAGCCTGCCGTTGCCGAGGCAACCCGCAATAACAGAAAGAGTCCACCACTAGAGGCGAGCACACCGATAAAAACAGGACTACAGGGAATTACACAAGGCAGCAGGGCGGAGCCCACGACAATAGGGCGGAGCCCACGGCAGCTCGGCAGAGGCCACGGCAGCTCAGCATAGCCACTAGAGACAAGCAGTGATTAGACTGCCACCTTCATGGACAGGACAGTGCAACAGACACTAATAAATGGAGTCCTAACTCCCTGGGACAAACCACCTGAGAGAAAAAAAAGGGCCTTAAGAGTTCTGCTGCAGCAGACTTAAACGTACCTGCCTAACAGCCCTGAATGAACAACGGAACTCGCAGCTCAGCCCTTGAGCTCCTATAAAGTACAGACAGTCTCCTCAAGCAGCTCCCTGACCCCCGTATATCCAAAGACTCACCTCAAAAAGGACTGCTCAGACTGACATTTGGCGGGCATCATTCAGGGACAAAGATAGAAGAAGAATCTGGTAGCAACCCTCACGGTTCCGCAGCTGCTACAGGTGACCCCCAGGCAAGCAGGGCCTGGAGTAGACCTCAGCAGTCCTACAGCAGTGGGGCCAGACTGTTAGAAGAAAAACTAAGAAACAGAAATACATCATCATCAACAATATGGACGTACATCCAGAGACCCAATCAGAAAATCAGCAACCACTCAGACAACAGGTGAATAAATCCACAAAGATGAAAAGAAACCAGCGCAAAAGGGAGAAAAACACCCGAAACCAGAACACCTCACCTCCTAAAAAGGACCAAAACTCCTCACCAGCAAGGGAACAAAGCTGGACGGAAAATGAGTGTGATGAAATGACGGAATGATACTTCAGAAGGTGGGTAATGAGAAACTTCCCTGAGCTAAAAGAACATGTTCCAAATCAATGCAAAGAAACTAAGAACCTGGAAAAAAGATTTGAAAAGAGATTTGAGGAAATGATAACAGAATGGACAACTTAGAGAGGAATATGAGTAAACTGAAGGACCTGAAAAACACAACACGAGAACTTCGCGAAGCATGCACAAGTTTCAACAGCCGAATTGACCAAGCAGAAGAAAGAATATCAGAGGTCGAAGATCAACTCAACGAAATAAAACGAGAAGGCAAGATTAGAGAAAAGAGCGCAAAAAGATTGAACAAAGTCTCCAAGAAATGTGGGATTATGTGAAGAGACCTAATCTACGTTTGATAGGTGCACCTGAATGTGATGAAGAGACTGAATCCACGCTGGAAAATACTCTTCAGGATATTATCCAGGAAAACTTCCCCAACATAGCAAGGCAGGTCAATATTCAAATCCAGGAAATACAGAGAACACCACAAAGATATTCCTCAAAAAGAGCAACCCCAAGGCACATAATCATCAGATTCACCAGGGTTGAAATGAAGGAGAAAATGCTAAGGGCAGCCAGAGAGAAAGGTCAGGTCACCCACAAAGGGAAGCCCATCAGACTCACAGCAGATCTCTCAGCAGAAACCCTACAAGCCAGAAGAGAGTGCAGGCCAATATTCAACATCCTTAAAGACAAGAACTTTCAACCCAGAATTTCATATCCAGCCAAACTGAGCTTCGGAAGTGAAGAAAAAATAAATCCTTTCCAAACAAGCAAGTACTCAGAGATTTTGTCACCACCAGGCCTGCTTTACAAGAGCTCCTGAAAGAGGCACTATACATAGAAAGGAACAACCAGTACCAGCCATTCCAAAAACATACCAAATGCTAAAGAGCATCAACAAAATGAAGAATCTGCATCAACTAATGGGCAAAACAGTCAGCTAGCATCAACATGGCAGTATCAAATTCACACATAACAATATTAACCCTAAATGTAAATGGGCTAAATGCACCAATCAAAAGACACAGACTGGCAAATTCGATAAAAAGCCAAAACCCATCGGTGTGCTGTATCCAGGAAACCCATCTCACATGCAAGGATACACAAAGGCTCAAAATAAAGGGATGGAGGAAGATTTACCAAGCAAATGGAGAGCAAAAAAAAGCAGAAGTTGCAATTCTCATCTCTGATAAAATAGACTTCAAAGCAACAAAGATCAAAAGAGACAAAGAAGGCCATTACATAATGGTAAAAGGATCGATACAACAAGAAGAGCTAACGTTCCTAAATATATATGGACCCAATACAGGAGCACCCAGATATATAAGGCAAGTTCTTAATGACTTACAAAGAGACTTAGACTCCCACACAATAATAGTGGGAGACTTTAACACTCCACTGTCAATATTAGACAGATCAACCAGACAGAAAATTAACAAGCATATCCAGGACTTGAATTCGGACCTGGAACAAGCAAACCTGATAGACATTTACAGGACTCTCCACCCCAAATCCACAGAATATACCTTCTTCTGAGCACCACATCACACCTGCTCTAAAACTGACCACATAATTGGAAGTAAAGCACTCCTCAGAAAATGCAAAACAACTGAAATCATAACAAACAGTCTCTGAGACCATAGTGCAATCAAGTTAGAACTCAGAATTCAGAAACTAACTCAGAACCGCACAGCTTCATGGAAACGGAACAACTGGCTCTTGAACGTTGACTGGATAAACAATGAAATGAAGGCAGAAATAAAGTAGTTCTTCGAAACCAACGAGAACAAACACACAACATACCAGAATCTCTGGGACACATTTAATGCAGTCTCTAGAGGAAAATACATAGCAATAAGTCCCGACATGAGAAAAGTGGAGAGATCCAAAATTGACACCCTATCATCAAAATTGAAAGAGCTAGAGGAGCAAGATCAAAAATACCCAAAACCTAGCAGAAGACAAGAAATAACTAAGATCAGAGCTGAACTGAAGGAGATAGAGAAACAAAAAAACCCTTCAAAAAAAATCAATAAATCCAAGAGCTGGTTTTTTGAAAAGATCAACAAAATAGACCACTACCCAGACTGATAGAAAAGAGAGAACAACCAAATAGATACAATAAAAAACAATAAAGGGGAAATCACCACAGATTCCACAGAAATTCAAACCATCATCAGAGAATATTACAAACAACTCTAAGCACATAAAATAGTAAACCTGGAGGAAATGGATAAATTCCTGAACACTTGTGTCCTCTCAAGCCTAAACCAGGAGGAAGCCGAAACTATGAACAGACCAATAACAAGTCTGAAGTTTAGGCAGCAATTAAGAGCCTACCACACAAAAAAAGCCCAAGTCCAGATGGGTTCACAGCCAAATTCTACCAGACACACAAAGAGGAGCTGGTACCATTCCTTCTGAAACTATTCCAAATAATCCAAAAAGAGGGAATCCTTCCCAAATCATTTGATGAGACCAACATCATCCTGATACCAAAAGCCGGCAGAGATCCAACAAGAAAAGAAAACTTCAGCCCAATACCCACGATGAACATAGATGCAAAAATCTTCAATAAAATACTGGCAAGCCGATTGCAACAGCACATCAAAAAGCTTATCCACCATGATCAAGTAGGATTCATCCCGGGGATGCAAGGCTGGTTCAACATACGCAAGTCTATAAACGTAATACACCACGTAAACAGAACCAAAAACAAAAACCCCATGATTATCTCAATTGACGCAGAGAAGGCCTTTGACAAAATTTAACAGCCCTTTATGCTAAAAACCCTCAGTAAACTCAGTATTGATGGAACGTATCTCAAAATAATAAAAGCTATTTACGACACACCAACAGTCAAAATCATACTGAATGGGCAAAAACTGGAAGCATTCCCTTTGAAATCTGGCACTAGAAAGGATGCCCTCTCTCACCACTCTTATTCAATATAGTACTGGAAGTTCTAGCCAGAGCACTCAGACAAGAAAAAGAAATAGGCTGGGCACAGTGGCTCATGCCTGTAATCCCAGCATTTTGGAAGGCCGAGGTGGGTGGATCACAAGCTCAAGAGATCAAGACCATCCTGGTCAACATTGTGAAACCCCATCTCTACTAAAAATATGAAAATTAGCTGGGCATGGTGGCACGTGCCTGTAATCCCAGCTACTCAGGAGACTGTCTCTATTTGCAGACGACATGACAGTATATTTAGAAGACCCCATCATCTCAGCCCAAAAGCTCCTGAAACTGATAAGCAACTTCAACAAAGTCTCAGGATATAAAATCAATATGCAAAAATCACAAGCATTCCTATACACCAATAGCAGACTTAAAGAGAGCCAAATCAAGAATGAACTGCCATTCACAATTGCTACAAAAACAATAAAATACCTAGAAATACAACTCACAAGGAACATAAAGGACCTCCTCAAGGAGAACTACAAACCACTGCTCAACGAAATAAGAGAGGACACAAACAGACGGAGAAACATTCCATGTTCATGGTTAGGAAGAACCAATATCGTGAAAATGGCCATACTGCCCAAAGTAATTTACAGATTCAATGCTATCCCCATCAGGCTACCAATGACCTTCCTCACAGAACTGGAAAAAAACCACCTTAAACTTCATATGGAACCAAAAGAGAACCCGCATAGCCAAGTCAATTCTAAGCAAAAAGAACACAGCGGGAGGTATCACACTACTGGACTTCAAATTATACTACAAGGCTACAGTAATCAAAAAAGCATGGCACTGTTACCAAAACAGAGATATAGACCAATGGAACAGAACCGAGGCATCGGAGGCAACACAACATATCTACAACCATACAATCTTTGATAAACCTGACAAAAACAAGCAATGGGGAAAGGATTCCCTGTTTAAGAAATGGTGTTGGGAAAACTGGCTAGCCATGTATAGAAAGCAGAAACTGGACCCCTTCCTGACACTTTACACTAAAATTAACTCCAGATGGATTAAAGACTTAAACATAAGACCTGGCACCATAAAAACTCTAGAAGAAAATCAACCCAAAACCATTCAGGACATAGGAGTAGGCAGGACTTCATGACCAAAACACCGAAAGCATTGGCAACAAAAGCCAAAATAGACAAATGGGACCTAATCAAACTCCACGGCTTCTGCACGGCAAAAGAAACAGTCATTAGAGTGTATCGGCAACCAACAGAATGGGAAAAAATTTTTGCAGTTTACCCATCTGACAAAGGGCTGATATCCAGAATTTACAAAGAACTCAACAGATTTACAGGAAAAAAACAAACAAGCCCATTCAAAAATGGGCAAAGGATATGAACAGACACTTTACAAAAGAAGACATACATGAGGCCAACAAACATATGAAAAAATGCTCATCATCACTGGCCATTAGAGAAATGCAAATGAAAACTACATTGAGATACCATCTCACGCCAGTTAGAATGGCGATCATTAAAAAATATGGAGACAGCAGATGCTGGAGAGGATGTGGAGAGGATGTGGAGAAATAGGAACACTTTTACACTGTTGGTGGGAGTGTAAACTAGTTCAACCATTGTGGAAGACAGTGTGGCGATTCCTCAAGGCCTTAGAAATAGAAATTCCATTTGACCCAGCAATCCCATTACCAGGTATATATCCAAAGGACTATAAATCAGTCTACTATAAGGACACATGCACATGAATGTTCATTGCAGCACTGTTTACAATAGCAAAGACTTGGAACCGACCCAAATGCCCATCGATGATAAGAGTGGACTGGGAAAATGCGGCACATATACACCATGGAATATTATGCAGCAATCAAAAACGATGAGTTCGTGTCCTTTGTAGGGACATGGATGAATCTGCAGAACAACATTCTCAGCAAACTGACACAAGAACAGAAAATGAAATACCGCATGTTCTCACTCATAGGTGGGTGATGAACAATGAAAACACATGGACACAGGGAGGGGAGCACTAGACACTGGGGTCTATTGCGGGGAATAGGGGAGGGACAGCAGGTGGGGGAGCTGGGGAGGGATAGCATGGGGAAACATGCCAGATGTGGGTAAAGGGGAGGAAGGCAGCAAATCAGACTGCTATGTGTGTACCTATGCAACTATCTTGCATGTTCTGCACATGTACCCCAAAACCTAAAATGCAATTAAAAAAAAAGAAAAAGAAATATGGGGGTGCTGAGAAGTGTTCCAGATGTGGGGATTCTGTATATGCTGCCGAGAAAATCATTGGAGCTGGAAAGCCCTGGCACAAAAACTGTTTCCGATGTGCAAAGTGTGGGAAGGGTATTTAAATCAACAACTCTGACTGAAAAAGAAGGTGAAATCTATTGTAAAGGATGCTATGCAAAGAACTTTGGGCCCAAGGGATTTGGCTATGGCCAAGGAGTAGGGGCTCTTGTTCATGTCCAGTAAGGTGTAAACCCAGAACTAATCATCACACACTGACAATCTCTTCATAATTTAGGCATAGATAATCCTTAACACTAAACTACTGTGAAATTCTACCAGCATTAAGTACTGTATATTACCCTTTACTTGGATAGGCTGGCTAACTCGTAGGAAGAGAGCACTGTGTCATATCCTTTTGCTTTGTTCACCAGCATTTTGGGGGAACATTTCCTTTATGTTTTAAATAAAACTTCAGCCCCAAAAAAAAAAAAAAAAACTATTTTGGCACTGCATCTTTTTAAAGCACCTCTAAAAACACTTATAAAAATGCTCTGTCACTTATTATGGCATTTACCATACAGTTTTATAATTGCCTGTTAATGTGCCTCTCTTCCCCCACTGGACTACACATGCCATGAGTGCACAGATTATGACTATCATGATCAGTGTTATAACCCAATACATAACAAATTGCCTGAGAAACAGTAGACTGTTCAATTAATATTTGCTAAAAGGATGAATAGATGAATCAGTTCTATACAAATAACATTTCTTTTGCACAGACA